TGCAGTGCATTGGCCCTCCAGGGTAAGATTTGAGGAACCTACAATGAAAGATTATTTAAAAATGAACAGATGATTTGAAATAGACCAAATATCTTAAAATGAAAGATATTCTGGAAACCAGTGATGAGGACAAGGATCATGATAAGCAAAAACACTACAAGAAAGATGAAGCACAAAGCATAAATAATACAATTACTTCACATGGTTATTGTTATCCTTTATATCATTCCATGGTGGGATATGGAAATATTATGAATAAAACAATGATCGGACAAACATTTCATGGTGAAAGCTATTTTGTCGCATGCGAGTCATGTAGCATGACAACAGAGTCACAGGTTTCATCACTGGATGCACTAGTGAAATGTGAAGTGTGATAACATTGCAGTTCAGACTTGTTTGTCTGTCTAACAGGGCCCAAACGGCACGCCCGGCGGATCCGACGAATGAGCGGCAACCACATGTGACGGACCCCGGGCTGGATTCCGCTTCGTCCACGGTGAAAGTTGATGTATTCCCTCAGCGACCAGCACAGATCAGCTCTATGCATGACGAAGCGGATATCGTCCTCTTTTGGAAGACCAAACAAAGTAGTTTCGCTTTCACAACGAAGCACACAGCGTCTTCACGACATGGCTGTAGCGTCAACTAAACTACAGTGAGACTAAAAGTTACGCCTTCCATAAAGAATATCTCTTTGGATTTGAGACTTTAGTCTTTGCAACTTTACAGATCTTCTTTATGCACCAAGAGCTTGTAACACTCCGAAGAGAAAGGAAAAATTTAAATCGCATCATATGACCCCTTTAAGTTAAAATGTAATCACAGGGTTACTGTTGTCATTAACAGCTTGATACAGAACGCGGGGGTCTTGAATGTATTTATGCAAGTTTAACTGTTTTTTTTTTATTGACATTGTCAAAGTGAATCTCTTTAATACTGTGAAATAGAAAATAACAAGAATTGATACTACAGTGAAAGATGTATGTCTGCATTTCTATATGGATGACCTTTTAAAAATACTGCTGACAGATGCTGCACTATCATACACACAGTGACAATGTGACATTTGTCAAATCACATGATTAATATGCAAGTCCCTCAAACTCATGCTATAGTACTTCATTTAAATGATTGACAGTGTTGATCTAATATAAAGTCATTAATACACTGAATGATTTGAATTACTCCCCAGATTCTGTAACAATGAATTGCTTAAATGTGATTTTTTTTTTTCCCTTTTTTGATGATCTGTAGTTTATAATCTCCAAAGTCTGTTGTTCTGATGTCCCTGATGTTGAGTGATCCGGACTTCTTGTCCCGCTTCAATCTGCTTCTGAATATCCTATTTGAAGAGATCTTCTTTTTCCCTCCTTTGATTTTAGCTAGGAGAGAGTCCTCATCTCCAAACTTCCACAGAATCACATCATCTGTCTGTATTTCAGTAACATCAGTGTTTAGAGTGACAGCATCTCCCTCCATCACTGACTCTGACTTAATTTCATCTGTCACAGCAGCACATAAATACAGAACAGAAATGAGAACAAGAAAAACAACAAGATATGTTTCATATGCAGATAAGTAAATTTACTCACGGTAATAACAACACAAATTAGGAAAGTAAATTCTTCATGGTCAGTATATTGCTCTGTCATATCTTATGCAATTGCTTTTATTTAATATACAGTATAAATTCATTCTTTTTTTTATTACATATATTTTATCTTCACGCTGTTTTCTTATTTTTTTTATGTATGTTGTTTTGCACTGTTCTCACTTTGCACAGTTTTAAATGTATGCCGAAACAGTGCAAATAATTTGTTAATACAAATGTACAAACATTTTTTTATACCAATGAATCTCCTTAAAATTGAAAACGAGAATTAATCTTTTCAAACAAAAACTTTGATTAATCTGTCAGTAATTCAAACAATAGTCTTTCATTTAAATGATTAACACAGTATCAATCTAAAATAAGATCATTATTACACTGAAAGGTTTGAGTTTCTCACCAAATACAGTAACACGGAATAATCCCACTGAAGTGTTTCTACTTCTGATAATCTTTAGTTGATAAAGTCCAGAGTCTGTGGTTCTGGTGTTCATGATGGTCAGAGATCCAGTCTGATTGTCCAGCTTCAGTCTGTCTCTGAATCTTCCATCAGGAACATCATCATGTGTAAGGATCTCTCTAGTCTTTCTTTTGATTTGAGCAATGAGAGTGTTTTCATCTCCAAACAGCCAGCATACCTGATCAGTTTTCTGTAGTTCAACAACATCACTGTTTAGAGTAACTGAATCTCCCTCCATCACTGGCAGTGTCTTCACTTTATCGTCACACCATGCAGCACATATGGAACACAGAAATGAGAAAAAGAAAATTAACAAAAGAGATAACAAAATCATCACTAATCATATTAATCCTTTTTCTGTTCTCTCCTTCCATCTCATTTAAAGATGAATTTGCTTTTGCAGTTTGTAACCTATCAACACAACATTAGCTTTTGACAGGAATAAATGGACATTCGACTTTGTCACTGGAAATGAATGTGGTTGTCTTCATGGGTCAAAACATAAGACTTATAACTTCTAAGTAGGTAGGACACTATATTGTCATCCTCAAAAAAAAAAAAAAA